ACAGCATCACTTACCTACCCGAGCCCGACTCTGCACAGCACCTCTCCAAACCCTTCAGTCCCAATTTCACAGCTCTTCCAACCCTTCATTGTAGAAAAATTTTGGAACTTTTACACTAAACCCTCTTGGCCACATAATCCTGGATCCGCCACTGGTAGTACCCACCTTTATTTTTCTCTTTCAATCCTTCAACGATGAGAACATCAAAACAATGAGGATAACAATAAGAAACCCAAACCATAATACACTTTTGATATTAGGGAAGGAGCAAAGGATGCAAATTTTCTACAAGCTAGAAACCTGGAAAACATTTTTGAAAAAAGAAGAAGCAATTATTTAATCCGTTTGATATCTGGCAAATTAAAACAAAAAGGTGCAACTTTTAACTTTTATACTGGGTTGATGATATCTGGGACTGGGAAATAAAATATATGCAATTTTCAAACCAATTCGATATCTGGGAAACAAAAAAGGAGCAACTTTTATACTGAGTCGATGTTATTGATATCTGGGAAATGAAATATATGCAAGTTTCAAACCAATCCGATATCTGGGAAACAAAAAAAAGGAGCAATGTTCCAAGCGTAAGGCAGTGTCTGTTTACCTAGTGTTGGGCTAACACAGTAATGAAATGTACCCTTTAAAAAATAATATAAAAAAACCATTTTGCTCCTGCATTTAGGAGAAAAAATTAACAAAATTGAAGGCATGACCATTTATACCAATGAAAGTGAAAGTGAAGTTAAATGACCACGGAACGATTTTGGAAATTATGGGATTAAAACCAAAGCATAGCTTTTGGTTATCAGATCTGGGTCATTGCTATCAAGGTCTCTAATCTCAACAGCAAGAGCTTCAACAATTGGAGCATCTCCATAGTGCGCAAATCTTTTATTTTTTTTATAGTTATTTATATTTCCGTCTATTAGAATTGTTTAATTGCTAATAGTCACACTTTATCAAAGTCTTTTCTAGGGCTTTGTTGCATTTTTCAGGATAAACTGTTATGGCTTTGGACACCATAGAATTCTTTTAAAGAAATTTTTATAAAGGACTTTGACTTTTTTTTTAGGTATAAGCAATAATCTAACCTATAAGGAGTGTTGGGACTTTGATTTATGAAGAGATTAATTATACTGTTGCATTTTTCAGGATAAACTGTTATGGCTTTGGACACCATAGAATTCTTTTAAAGAAATTTTTATAAAGGACTTTGACTCTTTTTTTTTAGGTATAAGCAATAATCTAACCTATAAGGAGTGTTGGGACTTTGATTTATGAAGAGATTAATTATATGGGGGTTGTCACAGACGTAAAAGAAACTATATTGTGTTTGGAATAATGTAAACTTAGACTGGGTGTCCAAATAAAATTTCAAAAATTGGGCTTAGTCCAAAATGGGGCAGTAATTGGGCCACCCCAACCCACCAGCTATTTCTTTCTCTCGCGGCAAAGTTGCAAACAGCAACGAAATCTTAAAATTTATGGCGGTGGAGCTTGGACACGTATAAACCAGTCTCCGTCGGAAAACACCAGAAACGCCGACGTTTTGGACATCGATAAAGAAGGAGAAGAAGAAGCACAGTGCAGAGAGACACATTCCAATGGCGGACGACGAGGCAGAGATATACGACGGAATTAGAGCTGAATTTCCTCTCACGTTTGGCAAGCAATCCAAGGCTCAAACCTCTCTCGAAGCCATTCACAACACGACTCGTCGTTCCGTTAACAATCCTCCAGAAAAACCCTCCTCCACCAAAACCAACGACCTCCCTTCTCTCTCCTCCTCCTCCCAAACCTGGCTCACCTCCCTCCGCGCCCCCAAAAACCCTAAACCTAACCCTAATCCTGAACCTAGCCCTGCAGACGATGAGGATGGGGATGGCGATGTCATGGTTGGACCGCCGCCTCCGCCGCCACAATCTGAGATTGCCGAGAGTGACGACGACGATGGCGAGATGATTGGACCGCCGAGGCCGCCGGTGGGGTCCAACATGGACGATTCGGATTCGGATTCTGATTCGGATTCAAAGTTGGAGAATAGGTATCGGATTCCGCTAAGCAATGAGATTGTGCTGAAGGGCCATACCAAGGTCGTTTCAGCCCTCGCCGTCGATCACACTGGGTCTAGAGTTGTTTCCGGTAGCTATGACTATTCTGTGCGAATGTACGATTTCCAAGGAATGAATTCAAAGTTGCAATCTTTTAGGCAGCTCGAACCATCTGAAGGTCATCAAGTTCGTACCATAAGCTGGAGTCCCACAGCCGATCGTTTTCTCTGTGTTACAGGCTCAGCTCAAGCGAAGGTGCTCTTAATCAACATCTTCTTGTGTGAATTTTGTTATTATTTTCGGCGTTCTTTGATTTTGGTTTTGTGTATATGAGATTGGCGCGTAATGGGCATTTGCATTTCCTATACCATTTTCGTCTTTGTTTGAAATTTTCAGATTTATGACCGCGATGGGCTTACTTTGGGAGAGTTTGTAAAAGGCGACATGTATATTCGTGATCTCAAGAATACCAAGGGCCACATTTCTGGATTGACTTGTGGAGAGTGGCACCCTAGAACTAAAGACACCATTTTGACATCATCCGAGGATGGATCACTGCGTATTTGGGATGTCAATGACTTCAAAACTCAGAAACAGGTTCGACTTTGTTTTGGGTCTTGCTTAAACATATGTTTTCGAATAATATTGGTTTGGGTTGTCTTGCATAACTATGTGACTAGCAAAATGGCTTAAGTTCTCTGCAGAATTTGCAAGTGCTTTATGTAATAGTAAATTGGATTATTGATCCTGGATCCAATAATGCTACTTTGCCTTTTAGATTGATTTCTACTGTGGATACTCTGTTTTACTTTTTTTTTTATTAATGAGAAGGTATATTACCGAACTTGATGCTTTAAACTAAATGATGCAATACCTCAATGAACAGGTAATCAAGCCAAAACTTGCGAGGCCTGGAAGAATTCCGGTCACCACTTGTGCCTGGGATCGTGATGGAAAACGCATTGCAGGTGGTATAGGAGATGGTTCTATACAGGTATTGGCTGAATCTCTCTTACTTCAAATGGGCTCAGTACTAAAAAAGCTCACTAGGTCTCCCCCACCCCAAAATGGAAGTTTGCATTGGTTGGATAGATAGATTTATGATGTTATTGTACTTAACGCTATTTCCATCAGCTTCTTCTCACATAACATGTATCATTCTGACAGATATGGAACCTTAAGCCTGGATGGGGAAGCAGGCCAGATATACACGTTCAAAACAGTCATTCAGATGATATTACTGCACTTAAGTTTTCTATGGATGGGAGAATCTTACTATCAAGAAGCCTTGATGGTTCATTGAAGGTAATGAATTACATGAGTAAGGAGTATACTGCTGTTTATTATCGGACTAACTCGGAATTTTTTTTCTTTCTGTTGTGTGTTTCCCTTCTAATTTACATGTGTACCAGGTTTGGGATTTGCGTCAGATGAAGGATCCTGTTAAGGTGTTTGATGATCTCCCAAACAACTATGCCCAAACTAATATAGCATTTAGTCCTGATGAGCAACTCTTCTTGACTGGAACATCTATTGAAAGGGAGAGCACTACTGGAGGTTTGCTATGCTTCTTCGATCGAGCAAAACTTCAACTTGTTTCAAAAGTTGGGATATCCCCCACCTGTAGTGTTGTACAGTGTGCTTGGCACCCAAAACTCAATCAGGTAAACTCTCAATAATAACATGCTTTTTTAATCTATCATTTTTCTGAAGCGCTTGTTGATCTATTGAGAATCACTGAACACATTCATATGCATGCATGCACAATAAATGAAGAATGAAAGTATACTCATCATTACGTGCCTTCGATTTTCCAAAAGTAAAAAAATGAAAAGTCTCACATGCCTTTGTTTGTGAAGATCTTTGCAACAGCAGGAGATAAAAGCCAAGGAGGAACTCATGTGTTATATGATCCAACCCTTAGTGAAAAAGGAGCTCTTGTTTGTGTTGCACGTGCTCCAAGGAAAAAATCTATTGACGATTTTGAGGCAAAACCAGTGATTCACAACCCTCATGCTCTACCCTTATTTAGAGATCAACCAAGCCGTAAGCGTGAGCGAGAGAAAACATTGAAGGACCCACTGAAATCCCATAAGCCTGAACTTCCCATGACAGGCCCAGGCTTTGGTGGACGAGTAGGCGCAAGTAAAGGAAGCTTATTGACCCAGTACCTCATGAAGGTAATGGTTATTTCTCCATTGATTATTTATCTTTTCTTTCCAAATTTAATGCAACTGTAGAAAAGATATTCATACTTGAGTCCCATCTCAGCAAGGGGGCATGATCAAGGAGACTTGGATGGAGGAAGATCCCAGAGAAGCCATATTGAAGTTTGCGGATGTTGCAGCAAAAGATCCAAAGTACATTGCTCCAGCTTATGCACAAACCCAGCCCGAAACAGTTTTTGCAAAATCGGACTCCGAGGATGAAGAGAAATGATTTGATTAAGGTTGCCATTTCTAGAAAACGCAATTGCTGTAACAGGGCAGAAACCTGAGGCTACTTTGAGGCAGCCCTTGCATAGCACCTTACCTATGTACAGTGCTTCTGCATGAATTAACTAATGGCATTAGCCACTGCATTAAATGACAATGTAAATGTACACTGAAATGCGGTCGTACTTGTTCGTAGCATTAAATTTGACAAAGGAATTAGAAAGAATGGTGGATGCCACATTGCCCTCAGAAATTAGACTATGGCAATGCATATGTGATCAAAATGAAGAGCATGTTTAGTGGAAACATTTTTCTTTTGGGGGTTGGAAACTGTGTGTTGCATGTAAAACAAATAATACAAGGGCATGTGCTATATTACAATTGTGTTTACATTTACTGAAATCAGGTTTTTTGTTTATGCTCAGCCTCACAATTCATTGAAAATAGTCGAGATTATTCAGCTCTCAAAATAAGGGAAATGTATTTCGATGCAATTCACATCTGCCTATGGCAATAACAAGTTAAGCATCAGCGGCTAAAACATATTTGATCAGAAAAAAGTCTCGTAATACTATGTTTTGTCTATTGACATTTACAAGATTTTGAACGAGATGGAAGTTTCTTATAGATCCAACATCAAATCCCATAAAATAATTGGGATTCTGATCCTTTAGTGTGTGCACCACAATAGATGTTGGTGTGGGGATTTTGCACTTTTGACTATAACTTTATGTTACAAAGTATTTGCCGCAGGCTTTAGCCAGCAGTTGGAAAGAGATAGTGGCGTGGCTCCCAAACCATATTAGGTTGGCAAATTCCTGGACAGGCTATCACCAAAAGGACCATAAGCCATTCCGCCCCTTCACTCTGAATTAGTTGTGCCTTGTGATTCGTCAACTGTTGCAGAAGCCATTACCCTTGAGAAAATCTTTGAGTTGCAATTTGGAATCTTACAACGATGCACTTAAACTTGTAAAAGGTTTAACTTAGGGGTCACCATTCTCGAAGCTTGACAGGCGAGAGTCCGATAGAACAGTGAACATTTGTGTGTCTACGAACAACTGTAGAAGCCGAAAGTTGCAGATGAAATAATAGAAAGGTGATAAAATAACCGCTTTCATCTACAACTTAACCTAAATAGATAAGTAAATGTAATGAAATATGCATGAGACATTTAGAAAGAATTGCAGGTTACCTTGATAAATGACCGATCCTTACTAGGAAAGGAATCAATGAAGCTCTCTTTAAGAAGTAAAGAAACCTGAAAAGACAGGAAAAAAGTTACATGTCAAAAAAGTATGATAAGCCAGGTCGTCTGTGATATTTAGCTATTTGCAGTTTTATATTATTGAGGATTTGGAGGAATATAGAAACTATGGCATTAATTTCTCTACCCTGTCATTGTTTGATTGTACACTCGTTATTGTGTAAGACCTTAGCTCCGAACAAAGTGACTCCAAGTAGTTCTTCATGACATCTAAAAACTGACCTGCAGCTTCAACCTGAAACATAAAAGAGTGAAACTGCTTAGAAAAGTATCATAACCATATTGTTGAAAACTTAAAAACTCGCTTTGGACTCGTTAGCTATGGGATGACCCCAGGCCTTTAATCATAGATTCTAAAACATTTTTCCATAATACGAAAGCAGGAGGCATGCAAGTATGAGAGTGAAGTTTGCAACATCACTCTTTGTTAGTGTAAATCCATCAGAATCACGAGCAGAAGCAGTAAGCATGCAAGTATGACAGTAAACCTGCACTTCGTTGCACCTATATACAGGATGCTTTTTAGCAAATGAACCTTCACGTGACAGTCTAGCATGGATGGGCCCTAGTTCAGAGGCTAGATCTTTATGTCTTGGAAGTGTTGGCAAATGACACATTTTCACCTGCATGAGCAATAAAGTAACAGCAAGGATACTTATTATTCTTAGTTTGCAAATGTTTGGGGATTATTGAAAACTATAAAATACATCATAATTCCATCAAAGTAGTTGCAAGGAAAACTGAGCATTCCGTAGTTCCCAAGAGATATAAAGTGGAAGACCACGGAAGTTTTTATTTTTTTTCATCCTTATAAGATAAAAAAGAAAAAAGACAATTTGAAGCATGTACATCGGTAGTCCTCAGACCCAAAGAAAAAAAGACATTCTTAGTCCAAAAGGAAACTTATAAAGTGCAACAAATTTCAAAATTTCAGAAGTTCTAGAATGATCAATTTCAATTGTGTGATTATCAAGCATGAAAAAATTCAAAAAAAATCTTTCTGTTGTGTTTTAGAGATCATCCATATTTGACAGAGGAAAAAAGTTTGCGGAAAAAAGTAAAAATAAGAAACCTGATCCTTTTGCACATTAACTTGAACAGGATCCCATGCTTTCCTCTTTAGATCTGCA